TCTGTCTTTTAGATTTTTACACTGTGTACATATATTATCTATTCAAAATAAACACTTTTTTGACAAAGAAGTGAATAAAAAGCCATAAAGTAGAGGGGAAGCCAGTGGTAAGCACCAAGCGTGGGGTGGGGGTAAAGGTGATACCTTCATTTTGTTTCCGGGGGTGAGATGGTCCATGGAAAGTCTTTACCCTCGGGCCAGCTGCTCCCCCCTTGCAGCTGGGCAGCAAAGGTTGATGTTCAGAGAATTAGGCACTTGTTTCGGCAGGAGCCTGGGGAAAACAGAAGATTGTCAAACCTGCTATCAGTGGCTGAGGAAAAATTGTGAGTGAATGTATAGTAAAGAGTCAAAGAGCAGGGCGCCGGTAGCTCACGCCTGTAATCCTAGCTACTCAGGAGGCTGAGATTTGAGGATCATGGTTCAAAGCCAGCCTGGGCAGCAAAGACTCTTATCTCCAATAAACCACTAGAAAACCGGAAGTGGTGCTGTGGCTCAAGAGGTAGAGAGCTTGCCTTGAGCTGAAGAGCACAGGGACAGCGCCCAAGCCTAGAGTTCAAGCCCCACGACTGACAGAAAAAAAAAAGTCAAAGAGCTGAGTGCCGGTGGCTTACGCCTGTAATCCTAGCTACTCAGGAGGCTGAGATCTGAGAATCTTGGGTCAAAGCCAACCTAGGAAGGAATATACATGAGACTCTTTTTTTTGGGGGGGGGTGTCCGGTTGTGGGGCCTCAACTCTGGGCCTGGGTGCTGTCCCTCAGCTCTTTAGCTCAAGGCTAGCACTCTACCACTTGAGCCACAGCACCACTTCCGGCTTTTTTCGTTTTGCTTATGTGGTGTTGAGGAATCGAACCCAGGGCCTCAGGCATGCAAGGCAAGTGCTCTACCACTGAGCCACCTTCCCAGCCCTACACGAGACTCTTATCTCCAATTAACCACCAGAAAACTGGAAATGCTACTCACCTTGAGCTGAAAAGCATCTAGGCCCCAAGTTCAAGCCCCACGACCGACCAAAATAAAAAGACTCATAGATTACAATTTTGGGGTCTACTGTGGCTAATCACAAGGCTCTGACAGTTCTTCTTGTACCCCCAAAACTACTGCTAAGGGTCTCTGAGGTTCTTGACCATCTGCTCACAAGCTCAATGGTAGCTTCTAGAGACCCCCAGCCTGCCTGGTAAAAGAATGTAGAGTTCAAAACCTGAAGCCAGGTGACCTCCACAGGAAAGACTGACCAGGAAAAATCATGGCAGTGACCACCAGCTCGTCACCCCTTTTCTGGAGCAATCCTGACTCAGAGCTGGCAGCAACACCCTAAACCCTACCTAGCTGGGTACAATCTGAGGACCAGGGGCACTGGGAGCTCTCCATCTTTACAAAGCTCTCTCTGGCCTCGCTCCAGTAACACCAGACTGGCCTGGAGCCGGAGGGACCAGGAACAGGCCCAGTCCTCTGTCTGACTGGCAAGGATAGAGCCCCACCCTCCTGCCCTCCCTCCTCCGCCTCTGCTTACTCAGCTCTTCCAGCCTCTTGGCTGCAGCCCACGCCAGGCTCTGCAGGGCTCTGGCTGCAGGACTGCAGGCCAGCCCGCTATGACAGCTGCCTCCCTGTCATGTAGTCTGACCGGGTTCCTGTGTGTTGGTCTGTCTCCCTGACTACCACAGCTGCCTCCCTGGGGAAGGGCAGCATCCCGGTGTTCTGGGCTTGGGTTTCCTGCCTCCGCCTTGGGCTTAGGCTATGACAGGTAGCTCTCTGGGACCAAGCTCCCCAGTTTCAGGGCAACTGGTTATCCCATTGATGAGTCATGATTGGCAAATGCCAACCTGTGTGTGTGTGTATGTGTGTGTGAGTGTGTGTGAACTATTTGAGAACTAATAGCTCCCATAGCCCCCTCCAAGTCAAGCCCACACTCAAGTTCACCGTTGTCCCTCCCTTGGCACCCATCTCCCTCTGAGCCCATCAAGCCAAGAGACTCTGAGCATGGCGGTGGTCCCCGACCCCCCAGACCTCATCCACCAGTCTCCTCTTGGAGAAACACACTACCTGGTTCGTCTCCCAGCATGCATTTCTGCAACAGCCTCTAGAACAACATAGCCCTAACTCTCATAATGCCTCTCCTCCCTGAGGGTTCCAGAAATGTCAGCTACTAGCGCAGGCTTGACACTGACCTTGTGGTTTTCCTGTACTTTGTCCTCATCTGTGGAGGGGATTCCTTTACTAAACCTGCCTCAAGTTCCCCACATGCACTACCACCTTCCTTTCAGGGCCCTAAAGTTGCCATTTGACATTCCACGTCTCTTGGGAGCTGTCAGGCTCCACTCAGATGCTAAGGCTCGTCCCCTGTAACCCAGCTTCCGCATCAGCACCCCAGTAGCAAAAGCTCAATGATGCTAGGTGCCCAAGTCTCACGACTGTAATCCTAGCTACTCAGGAGGCTGAGATCTGAAGATCATGGTTCAAAGCCAGCCTGGGCAGGAAAGTCCATGAGACTCATCTCCAATTAACCACCAGAAAACCAGAAGTGGCTCTGTGGCTCAAGGATAGAGTGCTTGCCTTGAGCTGAAGAGCTCAGGGACAGCACCCAGGTCCTGAGTTCAAGATCCACAATCCACAAACAAACAACTATTGATGTAATGACCTAGGTGGGTCAAATTAATTATGTGAATGGAAAAAAACTGAAAACATTTATGTACTTTATGATTTCATTTATATGATATTCTTTAAATACAATTCCAGAGCTGGAGAGCAAAGTAGCAACTGGTAAGAGTTAGGGATGAGAAAGAAGAGAGACTTGGATATGATTCTAAAGAGAAAGCCTAGCTGGACACCAGTGCCTCACACCTATAATCCTAGCTACTCAGGAGGCTGACATTTGAGGATCATGGTTTAAAGCCAACCTAGGCAGGAAGGTCTGTGAGATTCTTCACCAAAAAGCTGGAAGTGGAGCTGTGGCTCAAGTGGCAGAGCACAAAAGCTCAGGGGTAGCAGCTAGGCCCTGAGTTCAAGCCCCAGGAGAGAGAAAGCCTAAGGGTTGGATGTGTGGCTCATCCAGAGCATCTGACTACTAAGTAAAACTGTTATGTGTATTGCGATGTAGTTACAGGAATCTGTGTACGTACACACACACACACACACACACACACACACACACACACAGAGTGAATGAGCTTGGGGGATTGTGCGCGTGCTTTGGTGTTTTACCATTTATGAAGACCCTGTCACGGGGAGGCTGGATGACAGGCGCACAGCCCCTCTGTACAACTTTCTGAAACATCCCGTGAAGCTGTAATTTTCTCAAAAGTAAAACTTAAAGATCAGAGCTGCAAAATGATACATTTGTCAATTAAGCAATGTGAAACTGGGATTTGCTTAAAAAAAAAAAAAACCTGCAAGAGTGTAAGATGTAGCTAAGCGTCTGTAGAGCATCTGTTCCTACTTGCTCACACCTGCTCACAGGCTCGGTATGCACAAAGCCTGCAGCCCCAGTTCCACCCCAGCACAAGAAAAGGAGAAAATATGAAAACTACTCCAGGAAGAAGTAAAGGGAAAAATGAGAGAAATCAGTGACACAGAACTGACAAGCTGTCACGTGTTGAAGCAGGCTGAGATATATGGAATGGGTTTGCATACCTGCCAATTTTGTGTTTGATAATTTGCATACTTGCCAATTTTGTGTTTGATAATTTCCAATATAAAAGTACCCAGAAGCCAGGGGCTGGTGGCTCACGCCTGTAAGCCTAGCTACTCAGAAGGCTAAGACCTGAGGATCATGGTTCAAAGCCAGCCAGGACAGGAAAGTCCATGAGACTCTTATTGCCAATGAACCACCAGGAAACTGGAAGTGGAGTGTGGCTCAAGTGGAAGAGCACTAGCCTTAAAGTGAGGAACAGCGCCTAGGCCCAGAGTTCAAGTCCCACAACTGACAGAAAAAAAAAAAAGCTCCCAGAGTATAGTTCAACAGAAGGGCTGAAGGTACTTAATCTACAGGTAGCTTTACATGTTGCAATAATTTTGAACACAAAGTTTATTTACAAAGCTTTTTATTATGAATTTGTATTATGGGTCTCTCGCAAATCACACTTGTAATCTACTTCTGTTGACTGCTTCTTACCTGCAAGAATCCCCCGTTTTAAAAAAATAGAAATTTATAAATATATACAGAGACTCAGAAGCCTTCACTACAACAACAGCAGTTGTGTCAGCCTTTCACGTCGTGTGTGTGTGTGTGTGTGTGTGTGTGTGTGTGTGTCTCTCTCATCTGGAACACAATCACAGCGCAGCCTTGCTTCCCAGCCCCAATGCGGCACCGCACCTGACGGGTGCTGGCGTTGGCTGGGGCAACTTCCCCCAGAGGCAGTGGGAGAGCAGGCTGAGCCCCGTCATGGCTGGGGCTGGATTCCATCTGACTGGACCACAGACCCCCAAGAACAATCACGAACTTGGACAAAAGTCTAGTCTACCTGCTTTCAACTCTAACTTTCAGGTCACAATGAGCTCCTGTTTGGTCCAGAGCTGGGAAATCCAGTTTTGTCATGGTCTTCTGCTAGTCCGTTCCTGACAAGCAGTTCCTTCCTTTGAGACAAAGCCACTGAGGGCCCCGAACATCAGCAAGACCACAGGATCCAGGAGCCTACCACCATGCAGTTTCTTCTACACGATCCAAATTCACCATGGGAATAGAGGAGTAAGAGATGGCTTTCCAGGGGGGGTAGAAGTTAAATACGGACCTTCAAATTCCAGCCCAAGAAGCTGAAGGCATGACTCAGTGGTAGAGCACCTACCTAGCAAGCTCAAGGTCCTGAGTTCATATCCTTACTTTAAAAAAAAAAGCTGGGCGCTCGTGGCTCACGCCCACAATCCTAGCTACTCAGGAGGTTGAGATCTGAAGATCGTGATTCAAAGCCAGCTCAGGCAGGAAAGTCTGTGAGACTCTTATCTCCAATGAATCACCAGAAAACTGGAAGTACTGCTGTGGCTCAAGGGGTAGAGCACTAAACCTTGAGGAAAAAAAAGAGCTCAGGAGCAACACCCAGACCCTGAGTTCAAGCCCCATGACTGACAAAAAATAAAATCAAATTCAATTCTAGTTCAGGAAGCACTGTGTCTGGCCTCTGCCAGTTTCCAGGGGCCACTGGCACTTGCCTTCCTTGGTTTTGCGCTGTCATAAACGTCTTCCTTCCCATCCTGCCAAAAGAGAGCAGCTTGCCCAGCACTTTCCCTAAAAATTTGTTTCCTCGTTTTGCTGGGTTCCTCAAGGAAGAGGCTGCCTCTCAGAGGAGGTGACGAGGCTGAACAGATTCAGATCTGCTTCTCAAGGAGACACCTTGGCTTGGCCCACTGAGCCCACGCAGACAGGGACTGCGGCCTTCCATCCATCCTGGCCTCCAGTACACTGGCGGGGTCCTCAACTTTCACCATCAAGGCCAAGTCCAGCTCCCAGCTCCCCCTACTCCATGTCCTTTTTCACCACTTCAAATCCAGGGCTCCTCAAGTCACAGCATAACATAACCCCCACTCCTGGCTCCTTGCCTGGGTGGGGCAGGTCACAGTGCCCAGCAGGCGACAGATGATGAATCTCACAGTGGCCCTGCTTTGAGCTTTTATCCACTGCTGGCCAGACAATCAGTGAGGCCCTGACACTTCATTGTCCTGCACATTAATGCATCTGCTCACGACGCTCCCTGACTTCCGCCAGCTGCCCATGCAAGCATCCAACATGATCCAGAGGAGAAATCAGAAGGAGGTTCTGGGTTGATCAATGATTTGTGAGCTAATGAGGGGACCTGTGACACCAAACACACTGGGCCAAGACCATGGGAAAACAAGCAAAGTGGCAAAGAATGCTTCCTTTTCTTGCCGCCTCTCTTGCTCTTCAGGGCTGCAAAGAAATCAAGTCCTGTGATAAAAATGGTGTCTCTAGTAGCCCTGTACCTGGGCATGCAGCAGCATGGCCTGGTTAAGAAAATGTCATTTGTACTGTCATTTCTTCCTCAGAACAAACATCCAGAAGAAAAAAAAAGTGTGTGTGTACACACACACACACTTTTTTGTTTTTTTTTTTGGGGGGGGAAGGAAGCATGCTGGTACTAAGGCTTGAACTCAAGGCCCGGGTGTTGTCCCTTAGCTTTTTCACTCAATGTTGGTGCTCTATCACTTGAGCCACAGCTCCACTTCCAAAACAGGTCATGTGAACAGAAGCTTTGCTATAAAATCATGCTGGACCACACCCTGCAGCCTCAGCTTGACCACACGGAGGTCCCCTCTCCTCTTCCCTCCGGTGGCTTTTCCTCTCGCAGGAGGGTGGAGTCTGCAGCCCTCCCAGGCCAGCTTCTTTTGCTGCTCACGAGAGGGACCTAGAAAGAAAAGAAGCACGGAGGCTGCCTGTTGGCCCCTGCTGGCTCTCGTGGGAGAGGCAGCCCCAGGCTGCTAGGGGGCCATCCCTGGACTGCACAACACTTCGATGTACCCAACAATACGATATGGAGAGGCATGGCTCCACTGAGCCCATTCTCTCCAGCCATCACCCAGGGGTGAGGCCTCTTTCCTGCCAAGGAACACACAGGCTGCATGGGGGCGGGCGCTGGACCCTGGCCTCCAACTCACTTCTTCCTGCGGATCTTGGGCTTCTTCACGGGCCGCAGATAGGGGTTATCAATGATGCTCTCCTCCCCGTTCCGGCCTCCTGCCAAGGAGGGGTTCTGCTGCAGGACAGAAGTGTTCTCCTTCTCAGCTCCAGAATCGTCCTTTGAGCAAAAGCCGAAATAAAGCAAAACACCAGTAGCATAAGGCAAGAGATCATGCTCATAGGAACTACCATCCATGTCTCATTCATTGAAATTGGAAGCCACCTTCTTTCCAGTTTTTTTTTTCCTCCACCCTAGATGTCACGAGGCCCAGGCAATGACTACAAGTAGCAGCGGGAAGCTGGGACTATTGGCTTTGACAAAGGGAAGCACATGGCAGAGTGCTCAGGCGCTTGGGCAGGCGAGACATGCAGACTTAGAAAGATGCAGACTGGGGAGGGACAGAGACAAATGAATCCCAGTCCAATGGCGAGAAAAAGAATGACCAGAGAGACAAATCACATGCAGAAGGCATTTCCTAGACCCAAGCTGACAAAGCCACAGTGGCTCTCTAATATCTAGTACTTGCAGCAAGGTAGCAACTATCATGCTCCTGAGAAATGCAATGGGGCAGAACAGAGCCTGCAGGTACCAATGTGTCATCTGTGATCCGGGTTCTGGTGGGGTTGTGTTGTTGTTTTTTTTTGTTTTTTTTGTTTGCTTTTGGTCAGTCATGGGGCCTGAACTCTGGGCCTGAGCACTGTCCCTCAGATCTTCAACTCAAGGCTAGCACTCTACCACTTGATCCACAGCGCCACGTCTGGCTTTTTCTGCTTATGTGGTGCTGGGGAATCGAACCCAGGGCCTCATGCATGCAAGGCAAGCACTCTACCACTGAACCACCTTTCCAGACCCTCTGTTGTTGTTAATGTTTCTGTTTTCAGGAAAATGTGATTTTGAAGAAATATTTACATTCAATTGGTATGATCCCAATCATTTTTTTAAAAGTCACACAACTGTGGATCGACACAGAAGAAAGGTAATGGGTTGAAAATCTAAAAATTGTCCCAGCAGTCTGAGTGTTTGGTTCTTCTACTCTTATATATTCTGTTTTCCTGTTCTTTAAGATAAGCAGCAAGCTAGGCGCCAGTGGTCCTAGCTACTCCGAAGACTGAGATCTGAAGGTCAAGATTTGAAGCCAGCCTAGACAGGAAAACCTGTGAGACTCTTATACAACAGCAGCAGCAGCAGCAGCAGGAAGCAGCACCAGTTGGTGGAGAATCAAACCAAAAAAAAAAAAAATCTAGCAGTCTTGACTGAGGCTGGTCTGGTGGCGCCCCCTAGAGGCATGCCAAGGTTTCTATGAGGGACAAATCAGAAATTCTCTTTCTGCAACTGGAGGCAAAGGAGGGCACACTTCCCCCAGCCAGGGGCAAACCCTGTCCTTCATCAGGATGCCACGGTCAGCTGGCACCAAATGAAAGGCAGGATCCCCACAAGGGATAGCTGGCAAGGGTGCAGACACCTGCCTCCAGATTGCTGGAGAAAACACATTTTCCCAGGGTGCATTGTGTGCTCGGCCTGTCCACCAAGTTTGTCCTCTGCACAGCACCATTGCCCCACAGGACCTGGGTGCTTGCCCCGTCCCAGTGGGACAAGACCTGGAACCATTCTGGGCCTTCTGGTGCCCCTCTTCAAAATGAAGGCCAAGACCAATCTGGCTTGTGCCAGGTCAGGTGCCAGGCCACAAGCCAGCCTTCCTCAAATTCTTACTGGCTTTATGGAATAGCATCTACCTCCTCCTTTATAATGCTACTTCTCTATGGTCCACTTCCTGTCTCCAAGGTGACTTCAAGGTCATTTCCAGGAGGCCTAAAGCTCCTTCTGAGTCAAAGATGGGAGAATACTGAGACTGCCGCCAACTGGTTCCATGGATGCCACAAAAGTTCAATGCTCAGCCGGGTGCTGGTGGCTCACGCCTGTAATCCTAGCTACTCAGGAGGCTAGATCTGAGGATCACTTTTCAATGTCCGCCCAGGAAAATCTGTGAGACTCATCTCCAATGAACCACCAGAAAACTGGAAGTGGCGCTGTGGCTCAAGTAGTAGAGCTGAGGAGCTGGGGGACAGCCCAGGCCCAGAGCTCAAGCCTCACGACTGACCAAAAAAAAAGCATCAAACAGTAAGTTTGAGTCCTGGCTTCAGGAAAAAAAAAAAAAAAAACTAAAACATCCAACTGATCAAGAGATTTGCAGAAAAGATGGTGGCAGAGGGCCTGGGAGGAATTCCTTGGGCCTGCACAGGCTGGACTTAGATGGAGTCCACCAGTGCCAACAAACCTATTCGGTCTCGTGGCTTAGAGAGACTGCCAGACCAGCAACTCCAATCTGTCTCTTCATCGCTCTCCTGCTCTCGTGAGTTCAGCCAGCTGCTCATTCAGCACCTCCACTCTGGCATCAGCTTCTCTAGGCATTCCTAACGTGCCTCAGGGTCTCCAGGGCCTGACCAGCTCTTCTCTGGCCCCTGCGTCAATCTTGGGTGATGGCAGTGCCATTGTTCCAATACCACTGAACTCTGCAGTCCTTCCTGCTTTCCCTTCTGCCCACCACTACAGTCTGGCAGGCTATCAGCAGCATCTAGCCAGTTCCACCACCATTTCTTGCCTAGATTTCCTCTCCATTCTCCCTCTCAGGTCCACTCCCTTGAATCAGTGATGCTTTCACAAGCTCAGAAATGTCTAACCTCACCCAGCTCTGAAAGCAGTCGACAAGGCCTTGATCCCTGATCCTCAGTCCCCCTGCCCAGACACTTCCCAGATATGCACATGCGCCACCCCTATCCCCACCCCGATTCCTCCAGTTTCTGCTCAGATTCAGCCCTCAGCACTGGCTTTAAACCCAAACCTGCATCCTCCCCCTGGACCTAACCTCTGGTTCTATGCATAACAATGGCATGTTATGTTTATTTCCTCTCTCCCACTGCCAAACACAAGTTCCTAAAAGGCAGAGGTTTGTTTTGTATTTGTCACAGTTTTATCCCAAGCAGCCAGAACAGCACTGATTTTTGGGTGCTAAATAAATGCTTGTGGAATAATTTGTCATTTTCCCTAAGAGTACAAGTTTAGATATTTGGATTGCCTGCATCAGGCAGACAGTTCAGATGTAGAATAAAATTTGACTGTACACTAATTTAACATGAATCATTCCTTCATGTTCAAGTACATGGAGAAACTACAATTAGGCTCAAAAGAAGTACAGCCTGGCAACAGTCCTTGAGAGGTACTGTTATCAACACTAAAAGCATAATTTAAAGCCTCATTTAATCCACTGTAATGGTATCTGTCATTGCCAGAGGCAGAAAACCACCTAAATGTCCACAGGGGACTAATTATGACATCTACACAGTGGAATATTACGAAGCAGCGAAGAAGGTAAGAAGGTGCTCAGCATACCGGGGTGGAGTGATTACCAAGATGTGTACAGTGAAAGAGGAAAGGGCAGCAGAGCTCTTTTGGTGATTTGCTGTTCCAGTTTAAAACAACCAAAAGAGTGCTGTGTCCAGAGGGACCCATGAGAGAGAGACTTGAGACAGCGGCTCTGTGAAGGAAAGGGAAGACAGGGCACAGTATAAGGGGAACCTGGCGCCACCTGCCCCTTGGTGAATTATGAAGCATACAATTATACTTCTGAATTATGAAGCGTTCAATTATACTTTCTGCCCCTGCCCCTGCAAATAGCATTACTGAGTTGGAAGGGCTGTCTCTGTACTGTTGTAAGAATCTTTGGCTTTGAAGGTTCCCCTGTCCCATGTAGGCTGATACTCTATTTTATTCCTACTTGCGCTGATGCATGTTCAGTGGTTTGTGAGTCAATCAAGCCACACATCTGTTAATCCAGGCACAACTGCGATTTGAAGCTGGGTCAGTCTGGCTCCAAGAGGCGGGGCCTCCCACTTTTTACAGTGCCTCTCAGAATTCAGGGGTCCACAGGCAGCCGTGGTTCACATCCAGTGGACTTACCTCATGCTCTGACCTAGCCCGTCAGGGGATGGCTCTTCCTGGGCCATCATGAAAGCATCTAATGCCTGGCATCTAACATCCAGCCAGGGACCAGGGTTACCGAATGTCCAGTTCCTAGAGGGAGGGCAGAGGGGATGAGCTTTCAGGTACTCCAGGGCAGGCAGAGCGGGGACCCACCGTGTTGACGTGAAGAGCCAGATTCTCTGTGTCTGTCTGCTCATCCTGCTCGGAGGAGTCGGTCTCTTCCATCTGCTGCATCTCCAGCTCGGAGGGGAGGAGGGCGGTCAGGTAGGGGATGGTGAAAGGCCTGGCCGCGATCACTGGGTGGGAGAGAGGTGTGATTCCATGTCACAGAGTCCCCGCAGCTGCCTGAAGCCTCAGGACCATCAGCGAGTGGCACCCAGAGACAACACGGACTTCCTTTCACCATGGTTCAGGGCCAGACTGTGGCTTTACCTGTGCCTGTCATCCTCGCTCCCTCCACGTGACACGGCAGGAAGCAGAGGTGCAGAGGGCAAAGGGGAAATAACAGAGACTGGCCTCGGGGGAAATAGCAGAGTGAGACTCCAACTCAGGCAAGCAGACATCAGTGCCCCTTTTAGTCAGTACAACTGAACTCAGATGAATGGGAGATACAGAAGCCCAGTGGGGCACTGGTTTTGGGATCTTCTGCCTCAAGCCTCATTTCTCCAACAGGGATACTGATATTTCCAGCCCAAAGGACTTAGGTCCACAGACTGAACTTAAAAACAGTGTATGTAGCCAGACGGTGGTGGTTCATACCTGTAATCCTAGCTATTCAGGAGGCTGAGATCACGGTTCAAAGCCAGCCCAGGCAGGAAAGTCTGTAAGACTCTTATCTCCAATAAACCTACTCAGAAAACCGGAAGTGGTGCTGTGGCTCAATTGGTAGAGCACTAGCCTTGAGCTGAAGAGCTGAGGGACAGTTCCCAGGCCCAGAGTTCAAGCCCCATGACCTCAAAAAAAGAGAGAGCTTCAGTTCAGTAAGAATGAGAATAAGAAACCCACGCACGTGTAGTCCCAGCTGCTCAATGGGCTGAGGCAGATCACTTGGGCCCAAAGTTGTTTGAGGCCAAGTCAGAACATAGTAAAGTTCTAATCTCCCTCCCCCTCCTCTCCCTCTGCAGATTATGGGGCTTAAGCTCTCCCTTAGCCTTTTCACTCACTGAAGATGCTCTATCACACTTCCATGAGGCACACTTCCACTTCTGGCTTTTTATTGGTTAACTGGTGTAAAGAGAGTCTCATGAACTTTTCTACCCAGCTGGCTTTGAACCAGGATCCGGTCAGATCTCAGCCTCCTGAGTAGCAAGGATTACAGGTGTGAGCCACCAGTGCCAGGCTCAGACCCAATTTCTAAACAAATAAATATTTAAAATACTATTTTTAACGTGGCCAGGCAGCCAAAAGGAGGTGTGAATGCTACATATTAACCCATGACCTCTAGCTAGCTACTTTATTTCTCTTCTGTTTGGGCCTCAGCTTCCTGCAAAGATTGCTGCCAGGCCCTAACTCCCAGACCCTCTGGAAGACTGAATACCATGACATAAGGAAAACAGGGCGCCAGTATCTGGCACTTGGTGACTCTTGGCCAGTATTTTTCCAGCACTGGGCACCCAACAGACATTTCATAAGGTTTGCTAAATGAACCAACCCCAAACCAATCTCCCTGGTGCCCTCTGAGGTAAGAACCTGAGACCTCTTATGGAAACAAACAACTTGGTTAGCACCACCAAATCCTGCTGCAATGTAGTTATGTAAAAGATGACCTGCGCAAGGGCATCGCGATGGGCAACTGGCCCAGATCCCAGCGTCCCTTTCACCCTGAGCCATCAGATCTGTGGCAGGCTCAGCTACTCTCCAGGAAACCTAAACTCAAAGTCCCTGCAGCAGCCGAGCTCACAAGGCGACAGTTCTGTTTTAGGATCATGGCTCTAGGACAGGAGAAGACCTGGGTAAAGGAGCCAGAAATCTGAAGCCTAAGTGCATCCAGGAGAAAGACAGAAGCTTAGCCAACTCTCCCTACCCAGCTGAGAGAAAGGGAAGATGGTGAGGGTCTCAGGTGGCAAGACAGGGCCTCTGGGGGGAGGGGGGCTTACATGGGAAGGTGCTGACGTCATCCCTGAAAAGGCTCTGGGTCTCCCCCGTCTTGGCCATGAAGCGGGTGAGTGCCCGCTCCACATCTCGCCTCTGAGATGCCGCCTTCTCCCGTAGGACCTGGTAGTCCGACACAGGCTCTCGGTAGGTCTAAAGAGAGGACAGCGAAGACACTAAGGTGAGCCAAAGCAGCTCCGATCCCCTTGGGGCTCTGCCTTATGGTTGCTAGGGCATTCCACCCACTGACGTACAGCCAGGGCCTCGAAAGCGCTGCAGTGTTTATGTGCCTGTAGCAGGGTTCCAACTCTCACTCAGCCTTTTTGCTCATAGTTGGTGCTCTACCCTTTGAGCCACACAGTTTGGCATTTTGCTAGTTGGCTAGATATAAAAGTCTCAATATGTCTGGCTGGGATGACTGTGAACCATGATTTGCAGAGCTCCAGCTCCTATGTAGCTAGGATTACAGGCATGAACCACTGGCCCCAGGCCCAGATGAATTTAAAAGGAGTTATGTGAAATATTATATTATTAGCTTGGGTGCTGGTGGCTCATGCCTATAAACCTACTCAGAAGGCTAAGATCTGAGGTTTGTGGTTCAAAGCCAGCCCAGGTAGGGAAGTCTGTGAGAGGTTTTTTTTTGGTTGTGGGGCTTGAACTCTGGTCTGGGCGCTGTCCCTCAGCTCTTCAGCTCAAGGTTAGCACTCTACCACTTGAGCCACAGTACCACTTCCAGTCTGTGAGACTCATCTCCAATTAGCTATCAGAAAACTGGAAGTAGTGCTGTGGCTCAAATGAGTAGAGTGCTAGCCTTAAGCACAAGAGCTCAGGGACAGCACCCAGGTCCCAAGTTCAAGCCCCATAACAAAAAAAAAAGAATTTTCAGGACACAAGTCTGAGGCTCAGGAGTAACAGACTGCTTTACACCAGGCAGAGTCCCCAGGGCGGCTCCATCACTCACCGGAGTTTTAATGTAGGTATGGGGGTCAGGAAACTCAGGAAAGTGGCTTGGGATGTGTGGCGGGTGGGGCCGGTTCTGTCCTGCGGTGAGGGCTTTGGGAGTCACTGGCTGATTGGTTACTGGAGCTGCAACAGAATCACAGATGGTTACAACAACCTTTTCTCTCTGGACCACAATTTTCTTTTTTTTTTTTTTTTGTCGGTTGTGGGGCTTGAACTCTGGGCCTGGGCGCTGTCCTTCAGCTCTTCAGCTCAAGGCGAGCGCTCTACCACTTGAGCTACAGCGCCACTTCCGGTTTTCTGGTGGTTTATTGGAGATAGGAGTCTCACGGTCTTTCTTGCCCGGGCTGGCTTTGAACCGTGATCCTCAGATCTCAGCCTCCTGAGTAGCTAGGATTACAGGCGTGAGCCACCAGCGCCCGGCCACAATTTTCTAAATAGAAGGTACTTTATACTTCGTTCAATGACATAAGGATCTGAGATGATCACTTCCCCACAATTCCCAGCTCTGCTGAGTAACCCTGCCTGTGACCTTGTGTAACCTTGACTAATATCCCCATATACAATAATCTAGGCTTTTAGGTAGATAGGAAGGTGGCTTCTAGTCAGGGCTGCTATGTAAAAGAGCATGCTGAAGAACAAGAAGTTGGATGGATACTAACATTCTTTTTAAAGGCTAAGGGGGGCGGGGGGGGGCACGTGTGGAACTTACGGGCAGTGATGACCATCCTCTGAGACCGCTTTGCGTAAGCAGGGAGGGTGTCCACATTGAAGCCTAAGAAACAAGCAAACAGGGTTGGGAATGTGGCTTAGTGGTAGAGTAATTGCCTAGCATGCATGAAGTCCTGGGTTCAATTCCTCAGTACCACATAAACAGAAAAAAGCTAAAAGTAACCTTGTAGCTCAAGAGGTAGCGTGCAAGCCTTGAGTAAAAGAAACTCATGGACAGTGCCCAGGCCCTGAGTTCAAGCCCCAGGACTGGAAGAAGATGAAGAAAAAAAAAGAAAGAAAAAGAAGGAAGGAAGGAAGGAAGAAGTTCATGCCCCGGGACTGGAAGAAGAAAAAGAAAGAAAGAGACAGACAGAAAGAGAGAGAGAAAGAAAGAAAGAGAGAAAGAAAGGAAGGAAGGGAGGGAGAGAGAGAAAGAAAGAAAGAGAGAGAGAAGGAGAGGAAAAAAAAAAGAAAACAGACTCCTCCCTCTCTTGGCTAAATGGAAGAAGTGGAAACTGAGGAGAACTACTTACCCATCTCAACCAGTGTGACCACAATATCTGACAGTGTGGGCTGAGTCCTGGCAGTGTGCTCGCAGTAAGACTTGGCACTCCTCCCGATTTCTGAGATGTCTGTGGAGGGATCAAGGGCATAGGGTCTTACTCATAGTTCTCAAAGTTAAAACACACAATGGCCAGCAATTCCATTCAGGGTCTACACCCAAATAAACTGAAAGCAAGGACTCAAGCAGATTCACCCATGTGGGCGGTAGTACTGTCCAAACAGTCAAGAGATGGAGCCTGGACTTTGGTGGCTCAGGCCTGACATCCTAGCCACTTGGGAAGCTGAGATTGGGAGGATCATGGTTCAAGGCTAGCTAGGGAGCTAGGATCAGGTGATTCCTGTCTGTAATCCTAGCTATTTAAGAGGCTGAAATCTGAGGGTTGCCATTTGAAGCTGGCGTAGGCAGGAAAGTCTAAGAGATTCTTTTTTTTTTTTTTTTGGCCAGTCATGGGGCCTCAACTCTGGGCCTGGGCACTGCACTGTCCCTCAGCTCTTCAGCTCAAGGCTAGTGCTTTACCACTCGAGCCATAGCATCATTTCTGGCTTTTTCTGCTTATGTGGTGCTGAGGAATCGAACCCAGGGCCTCATGCATGCAAGGCAAGCACTCTACCACTGAGCCACCTTCCCAGCTCGTCTAAGAGATTCTTATCTCCAATTAACCCCCAAAGAGTTGGAAATGGAGCTGTAGCTCAAATGGTAGAGTGCCAGCCTTGAGTGAAAAAGGTAAGCAAGAGTTTGAGGAACTTTCATGCCCCAGTATGGGTACACACACAAAATAAAACTTCATTATTATACCATTTCACAAACGAGGAATGTGAGATTCAGAAGCTATCAAACAGCAGAGTGATGATTTACACCCAGACTTACTTTATTCTAAGGCCTGTAAGAAATTGCACCATGCTTTCCCCAGTCCCCCTTTCAGTCTTCTCTAAAAGCATGACAACCCAGGGCACTGATGCTGGCAGTGACTCAAAAAAGGCCTAGTGTGTCTTGGTACTCACAGCTCTGCAGCATCTCTGTCAGTGTTTCCACAGATGCTTTCTCTGCACTCTCAAACCCAGCCTCTGTCAGCAAGGAGCTCACAACCACTTGCAAGGTTCTTCTCCGTGCCAGATGGTAGTTATCTGCAGGGTTGGTGGACTGTTTACTTCCTGATCTCTGTGAATCAGCAGCCCATAAAGAGAGAAGACTTTCAACCACAGGACAGGATGTGATCCGGTAGTTCACACACCATCAATGGCAAGCAAAAGCTCTTTAGCTAAATCCTCTTTATAATCACTGTTTAATGTTTTTGACTTTAAGAACCTGGCTGAGTAATAATTGAGCACCCAGAATGCTCTAAACAGACAACCTTTCTGCAGACACAAGCGTTCCAACAGGATATATGGCAGAGTATTTTGGTGGGGTTTCCCACCCCTCCTCACCCCCCCACCCCCCCATCCCCTTCCCACCCCCCCACCCCCCCTCCCGCCACACACACACTTTCTAGGGTAGCAGATTATCAGAATACACAACATGCATGATGGAGTTGAACTAATATATTTACTTTCCAAAGGGGGGGGGGGGGCACAAGATCTCCCTTTCCTCCCATCTTAATATAATTTCATTAACAAGGAATTTTATTCTATTTATTTTTTGGTTGGTCGTGGGGCCTGAACTCTGGGACTGGGTGCTGTCCCTCAGCTCTTCAGCTCAAGGCTAGCTCTCAACCACTTGAGCCATACCACCACTTCCGGCTTTTTTTGCTTATGTGGTGCTAAGGAATTGAACCCAGGGCCTCATGCATGCAAGGCATGCACTCTGCCACTAAACCACCTTCCCAGCCCCTAACAAGGAAATTTAAAACAGTTTACACCACACGATTCCAGGGAAACACAAGCAAAGGTAAGCAGTACCGAAATACAGGGAAGCTAAATATTTTGAAACGGGAATCCCTCCCGACTCTGGCTGACCAATGAGAGGGAAAAAACGTTCTGTTCCAACCAATCAGAAGGTGTTCCGGGTTCCCACCTCCCACCGGAAACGAGCCAATCAAGTCTCGGGTACCTCAACTTAGGAGGCCGCTGCCAAGTCCCTGGGGAATGGGGAGGGGAGGCGTATGGCCACAAGGTCCATTCTGCTCTAGGAGCTCACTGTGGGCCTCGATTCGTGGGTATGAGCTTGTTGCCCAGTCCGTGCCCACACTCCCTCAGTTTTGGTCCTGTGCCTCTAACCCTTACCGTTCCGGAGCCACTGGCTCCGGCCGCCGTGTCGGCCATCTTCCCGTGGCGTAATGTGCGCGAGCGCGGGGCGGATGGGACTTGTAGTCGAGGGGCGGAGCCACTGTGCGATGGGCGGGGGCGTGGTTTGTTGGTTGGTGGGCGGGGCCTGGCGGGGGCGTGGCGGGGGCGCTCAGTCCGCACTGCGTTTCCGAAGCCCAGGGGCGTGGATGACTGGACCTCCGATGTCCCTCCGCTCACGTGACCTTTTGTCAGCCAAGTGTTTTTGGCTTGTGGGCCTGGAAAAGGCGCCGTCGGCTTCACGGGTTTAAACCTATTTTGAGGAGGACTTGTTTTCCTCACAGCGCAGGCTCCCGGAAGGCCCCGAGGGGGCTGAGTATGCGCCCCACCTGGCGGAGCCGGCGAGTCCGGGACACCTCGCTCTGCGCGGGGGCTTGGACCTGCCCACCGGCTCCCCGGCTGATGCGGATGGGCGGATGGTTTGGGAGCGCCCCGGAGTCTCCAATCTCTTCATTTTCCCGCGGATGGCCCGCGTCCGTGTCCCCCGGGACGCCGCGCCTCGCCGACCACTCGGTCCGCGTCTTCCGAGGCGTCCCGCCCGGGCGCTGGGGGGCTTGGCCCTGGCCCGCCTCGCTCCCGGGTTTGAATCACCCCAAGACTCGCCAGCTGTAGGACTCTGACATATTGCCCGGCCGCGCGGTGCCTCAGTTTCCCCTCCTGATGACAGCCTGACGCGTAGTAAGTGCAATCACGCCCGACGTTGTTTACTTCCTGGGCGGCGTGTGCCCGGCGCCGGCCGCGGACGCCCGCCGCGCACACCTGATCCCCGCGACCCCCACCCCTCACCTGGGGCGGGGCGAGGGGCCTGCGGGCCGCGGGAGGGGTGGGGGGCCGCGCTGCGGGAGGGTGGGTGGGCACCAGGCTTGAGTGGAGCACCCAGCCCCGCTTTGTCTCCCCCGCCCCCTCTCCCCCACTTCCTGCCCAGCCCGGGGCTCGGGCTCCGCGGCGCTGACTTTGTAAACATACCGCGCCGGCGGGGGTGGGAGGCTGGGGGGGTGAGGGGGTGGGGAGCCCGGTGATGGGATTCCGTCCCCCCAAAAGACAGAAGCCCTGGCTGTGGGAGACAACGTCGGTGCTGGGGACTCACCTGTCCAGAGGTAGGCGTGGGGGGCTGCGGGCGTCGCCCCCTTTCTCTGATTTTACTGCAAGCCTGGGCTGGACACGGGGAGTGGGGAGTCGGGAGTGGGTGGGTTCAGAGGGTCGCCGCGCCCCCCTTACCTCCCTGATCACCCCTGAAGCTCACGCACCTCACTTTCCCTCAGGGTGAGCTGTTTTGTTCCAAGTTGAGGGGCAGAGAAGCCCCCCCACCCCCACCCCAGGCCCTGAGTCCACCGAGGGTGTTTGTCTGCACAGCCGACTGGGAAGCTTAGCGGACTGGCCGTCCGCCTCGGCCCCGGGGCTGGGCGAGGTCAGCCTGCCCGTTGTTGGGGGTTGGGGGTCTCGCCAAGGGAGAGGGCAGAACCCGGGGCTCAGCGTCGTCATCCGTCGAGTCTGATGTGCGCTGGGGATGGCGGTCGTGGCCTGAGCCTCCCGTGCGTCTGTCTGGTCGGCTGTGGACAGGGGGAGTAGCTGACGTCGGCTGCCGTGGCTAAGGTTGCAGCGTTCCTTTGCACTTTGCCAAACCGAGCGGTGCTTGGCATGGTGTGGATGCTGAGGATACCGAGCTGGTCCTCGTGTGGTCACGACACAGACAGGCGCACCGGGCTTGGGCTGGGGAGGCTTCTGCCAGGAAAGGACCTGTACGCTGAATTCTTGAGTGTGGATGGCTCCCTAGGTAGAGAAGTCAGTGGCAAGGCTTTGCAGACGTGTATTTATTCCCTGCAGTGGGACTGAACCCCGGCTATGGTGTCGGGTACTGAGATCCCTGGTTCACTCAACTACAACTTCTGATCTCTCCCATTGGCTGTCTTAATTGTGCAGAAGAGATGGGAACGAACAGGGTGAATTCTGGGAAAGACAAATTGCTGGGCTTATTCCCAAGATCCTAGGAACTCCCGGTTAGATTTAAAGCAACTATCCACACTCCTGGCCGTGGTACACACCCAATCCTATCCCAGATTCTGGGGCTATTTCCTATCACAAGCCTTGTGCCCTCTGCCAGCCCCCAACCTCAGTCCTTTAATATCAGCTGTGCATATGGCCACTGTTTCTGGGCAGATTCTTCGATGTTTCCATCCCTGGCTCCTTTGAGATGCGGTAGTTTGGGAGTTCACCGTAACTGTTTGCTGCAGCCGCACTCTCTGCTCTATGCCAGGGTCCTGGTGGTGTGCACACATAGAGCTTCTGTCCTGGTGACTGGAAACTGAAGGCATTCCAGATCATTCCATAAGGGTTCCTGTCTGTATTTCCTGTGGCCTCCATGGTCCCAAACCTTCTTCCTCCCCTTCCTGGGAATGCAGGGCAGTCAGGTGGTCTGCTCAGTGAATGTGCTGTATCATCTCATTTAATCCTCCTGATAGACCTGTGGTCTCACTAACATCCTTTATGGCTGAGGAAAAGGGCACAGACTACATACCTTCCTAAAGAGGGAACAGGATAGTAACAGCAGAGCTGGGATCCCCACCCTACTCAACCAGAGAGACCCTGGTGTTGTATAAGGGCTGTGGAAGACCATTAAAGAATATTCACGCCCGGTTACACTTCACAGCAAGACTGCTCCCACAGCAGTGTAGACTGGTAAAGAGGAAGGAGAGATGGAGACTGACTGGACTATTGGAAGTAAATCTCTCAGACTTTCCTCCTCAGGCTAGCTTCAAACAACAGTCCTCAGATCCCCAGCCTCCTGAGTAGCTGGGATTACAGGTGTGAGCTCTGTTTTTAACCTCCAGGCCAGTTTGCCTCTCTGACCACATAGAATGTGCTCTTGAGCCAAGGGTTTAGGAAGTTTCCTAAGGGGAATCCATGGCCCATAAGCCCTGTGTTTTGGGGAGTACTGGGGTGTTAGTGGAGCTTGAGTACAGAGAGCCACAGCAGGTCTGCTCAAGGCCGTGGAAACTGCACAGAGCTGGTGTCCTCTCTTCAGAGCTCTGTGTGTGTGTGTGTGTGTGTGTGTGTGTGTGTGTGTGTGTGTGTGTCTGTCCGTGTGTCCGTCCGTGTGTCCGTGTCCATCCGTCTGTGTGTCCATGCAAGATTCACTCATCAGGAAGAACAGAATATAAATGAGCCAAGAAAAACAGACTAAGGTCAGACACAACAAAGGCCATCTCAAACATAGCTGTGAGTGAGGCATTAGAATCCAGGGATTTGGGAAATACTAGTTTCCTGCATCTTTTTTTTTTTTTTTTTCCAGTCCTAGGGCTTGGACTAAGGGCCTGGGCACTCTCCCTGAACTGCTTTTGTTCAAGGCTAGCATTCTACCGTTTGAGCTACAGCACAACTTCTGGTTTTGTCTATTTATGTGGTACTGAGGAATTGAACCCAGGACTTCATGTATGCTAGGCAAGCACTCTACCACGAAGCCACACTCCCATCCCCCTCCTGTATCTTTTAAGAATAGTGGAGAATCTCACATTCTGGACTCTTAAGAGAATGGTTCCAGCTGGGGAACTGGGTCAGGAAAGTGATCTGGCAGTGAGCATGTTTAAGGTGCTCACCAGCCAAGCGGCTGGTGGCTCACACCTGTAATCCTAGGTACCAAGGAGGCTGAGATCTGGGGATCATGAATCCAAGCCAACTGAAACAAAAAAAAAAGTCTGTGAGACTCTTATCTCCAGTTACCCCCCAAAAGTTGGAAGTAGAACTGTGATTCAGGTGGTAGAGCACCAGCTTTGAGTAAAAAGTTAAAGGTCAGTACTCAGGCCCTGAATTCAAGCCCCAGTACTGGCACACATATAAAACACCCTACTTCTGGCACCCATCCTGGAGAAAGGTGTATGGAAGGGTGGAAAAGGGTGCTGGGCTTGAGGATAGAGGGACGGAGCAGGATACCCCATGAAAACCCAGAACTTCACAGGTCTCCACTTAGGCTGCAGCTCTGCCCACCCTACCCCTTCCTCCCTGGAGTGGAGTGCGCCCCCCCCCCCCACCCCAACCCCTCTGCCCCATCTCCTTCCTCCTCTGTGAAGAACAGGTTGTACTCTCAAGAAACCACAAGAGGAAGTTTAAAGAGGGCTGGGGGCGGGGAAAGGTCTGGGGCCACTGCCAAGTTTCCCTTTTCCTGCTGAGCAGTAGGTGTGTTTATCTTACCCACAAAGACATTTAAATTTTAAATCCTCACAGTTGCTTAGGACTGTGCAGGCCTGTTAGGGTAGTAGAGGTGATCTCAACCCTTCAGCCCACCAACAATGCCTTGCAGGCCCGTCGTCACCTGGGATTTCTGCGAGGTAGGAAAAGCTAATTCCGGGAAAGTGTCTTTGCCACTGAGTGCTCCCACATACCTTAGAGCCCTTCCACTCCGAAGAATGCAGGCAGGGAATGGGCAGAAGTTGTATTCAAATATTTGGGAGAATTTAGGGCACAAGTGGCTATAATTGGAGCTATTTGGGTGCCTGAGATCTGAGGATCACAATTCACACTCAAGCCCTTGCAGAAAAATCCATGATATTATCTCATCTCCAATTAACCAGCAAAAAATCAAAGTGGAGCTGTGGCTCAGCTGGCAGAGCATCAGCCTTGAGCAAAAAAGCCAGACCATTGAAGCCCTGAGTTCAGATCCTAGTACTAACACACACACACACACACACACAAACAATTAGAAAGGTCCATGGGCTGGGAATGTGGCCTAGTGGTAGAGTGCTTGCCTAGTATGCATGATGCCCTGAGTTCAATTCCTCAGTACCACATAAACAGACAAAGCTGGAAGTAGCACTGTGGCTCAAGTGGTAGAGTGCTAGCCTTGAGCAAAAGAAGCTCAGGGACAGTGCCCAGGCCCTGAGTTCAAGCCCTCAGACTGGCCAAAAAAAAAAAAAAAATAGGAAGGTCCTTCTGAAAAGCGTATTTCCAAATAGCATTAGCACAGAAGTGGTGCTGTGGCTCAAGGCTCAAGTAGTAGCATATTGGCTTTGAGCTGAAGAACTCAGGGACAGCGCCCAGGCCCA